TTCCCAGGGCTCTGGGACAGTTATTGGTTGTCAAGAAAGGCATTGCTTGTTTCTGCTTCTAGTCCTCTGCTTGGAAATATTAGAAGTTTGTAATTAGTTTAAAGAATTGAGGAATAAAGGGAAGAGGAATAAAGGGAGTCTGGCTTTCCACATGGTTGACTACAGATTTGTTGATCTTGTTCTCATAGGGTTAAGGGCCCTTTCTTATGTCTTTGGCTGGATTCTGAGGAACTTTTTCAGAAACCAAGAAAGGTGTTGGTCAGTACACTTAGAGGTTTTTATATAAAAGCAAAGTATGAAGCTATTTTTTGCAGTTAAAGTTAAAGTTTTAAATTAAAACTGTTAAGTTTTTCATCTGAATTTTTTTACTTAAATATTAACCTCTCCTGAGCCAGTTCCTGGGCTCTAAGGCTTATTTATAGAGATAGTAGACAGGTTAATATATTCACTCATGGTGGATGGCATGTTCAGAAAGGACAGCAGCTGTGGTGAGAGGGCTTGCCAAGCCCTTTTTAAGGCTACTTACCCACCTTTGGTGTCCACATGTCACCAATTCTTACCTGTGACTCCAAGAAGCTATAGCATGCACAGTAGCCACATCTTGGTAAACCATCTTGGCAGATAGGCTAAACCAGGTTGAGAATAGCCAACAGGCTTCAAACCCTTTGGTGAGTTATGGGAAAACAAAATGCTATTTTTTGCAGTTAAGGTTTAAGTTTTAAATTAAAACTGTTTTTTTTTTCATTACTTGAATTTTTTATTTAAATCTGGATTCCCCTGAACCAATTCCTAGACTCTAAGCCTTATTATAGGGAAGGTAGACAGGTTAATATTCACTCATATTGTTTTAATCAGTACTTCAAATATTGGGGTGTGTTGCAATTATCATATGGGTCACAAGGCAAATATGGGGGCAGGGTTGAATGGATACTACCATAGGATGGTTTATTTTGATTGATTCTTGAATGACAGACATTCTGGGCCTCTACTCAAGTGTTTCCAGTTTAGCAGGGCCTGCCAGAGTTTATACTGTAGTGTCACAGGCTTTAAGAGCCCAAGATCACCTCTGTGCCAACAGGGAACCAGAGTAGATTGTTAGTGCAGGGTTTTACATCAGATTGCCTCTAAAATGAAGACAGATTAAATTTAAAATTAGCATGAAGGACCATGATATTTGACAAATCAACAAACTAGATCATTTCTATATACAAAATATAGAAAACAAGTATGATACCACTAATCTCTTCTATTTACCTTAAGGCATTTTTAAAAAAAAATATATTACTGTAATTCTAAAATTGTCCTGTGTCTTTCTGAACACCCTTCTGCCCTCTTTGGTGTATTTTTTAAATGTTTCATTGACCCTTTATAAAACTAATTCAAAAAATTAAAATTAGAGAGATGAATTTGATGCCCCAAAGAAATTTACAGACTAAATTATTGTCATATTATTATTGGTTCATATGATACTGTCCTTTAGAATGTTCCATTTTTAGAAAGTATTATTATTTACCTTGGGCTACTGACCATTATCATCACCTAGTGGCCAATCTGCTTCCGACAGGGATTATCCCTATACTTACATGGCTACGCTTATCCTCAGGCAGTACCCCCAACATATTCTCAAAATCTTCTCAGTTTGGGTAGAACTTCCCTAAGCTTACACTCTTTTCAATGTTTGAGAACCCATAGTCACTTCTACTTCTTAACAAAACACAGCAGTACAACTTTCAGATTTGTAATAATAACCATAATAATTAGCATTTATGTAGCACTTCAAGGTTTGCAAAATGCTTCTCAAATATCTCATCTCCCTAACAATCCTGGGAGGAGGTAGGTGCTGTTATTATCCCCATTTTACAGATGAAGAAACTGAGGCAGAGAGCAGTTAAGCAACTTGCCCAGAGTCACATATCTAGAAAGTGAGGTCAGATTTGAACTCAGGTCTTTCTGATTCCAGGTCCAGAACTCTATCCACTGTGCTACCATATAGTTTACATCTATGTGCGACATTTACATATATGTGCCCCCATATATTTACATTTTGCTAAACACTTTCCCCAGTTGTGAGGGTGGGTAGCACAAGTATTATTATCCCATTTTCAGTTGAGAAAATTAAGGCTCTGAGAGAAGTTGAATGACTTAACCATAATCACATCAGTAGTACTGGACTTGGATCTTGAATGAGAATCTTCTAGGTCTAAATTCAGTGCTCTTTCCCCTACACTGTGCATTTTCTTTTGGATGATTCATCAATTAGTATTAAGCTATGATTCTTTTTAGACAGCCAGAGGGCACAGTGCATTGAGTGTTGGACTTGGAATCAGGAAGAATGCATTTCCAATCTTGCCTCATACACATACTACCAGTGTGACCACAAGCCTGCCGGTTAATTGCTCTGATTCTCAGTTTCCTCATATGTAAAATGGGGATAATAACAGCACCTACCTCCCAGGGTTGTTGTGAGGAACAAGTAAGACATCTCTGTAAAGCTTAAAATATTATATGAATGCTAGCTATCATTAACATTTTAAAAAAGGAATTACCAAATAATCAAAAAACTTCTTATGAAAGTCACTATTCAACACCTTATTGTGCTATGTCTTAATATTAAATCAATTTTATAAAATTATAACATGTCTTATAATACTATAGAGGATCTACTCAGTGGTTCTAGTTAATTGTAATTAGGTGGGTTCCTCCCCCCCTTAAATGCTGCTTTAACTGCAATATTTCATGTTTTTTTAAGAGTAAACCTATTTTAGATAGTTTGTAATTCAGATAAGGCATTTTTAATAAAATAAAAAAGTTGAGTGTAAGTGATCTATCCCTTCCTACTTCAATCAGTTTCCTATTCTTAAAGCACATCTCCTCACTGTGCCTAATTAGGTACTCTACCAATAATCACCAGGCAACAACTACCTGAAATGAAGGCAGAGTGTCTGGGAAGAAATGGAAAGCATTTATCAAACTTGTCTCACAGTACAACTCAAATCCTTTTTTGTGAAGGAAATATCCCATCATTATACACTCACTAATGGCTACAGTGTCCTAAGAGTGACATTATTTTTTATCTAGTTATGTTTTTGTGGAAGTTGTAAATATAATCAAGGTACAATGACCTGATAAGTTCCACAATCCAAAGGGAGGGTGTCATCACCACCTGGCACATCTTCACTTGAAAAGCTCAAGACCTCATGATGGCCCAGATGCAGGCAATAGATTATTGACACTCCCCCACCCCCACATACCCTTAGAATATCTTATTTGAAGGAGTTTAAAGTATTTGAAGTAGCTGGTAAAGTTGCTGTGCCTGGAGTGTGGTTTGTAAGGAAAGGGAGTTGTGAAAGGTGAGACATCTAGGAAGATAGCTTGGGTCTGGATCAAAAGTGCCATTGATATGTTATCTGAGAAGTGTTTAATAGAGATGGTTTTGGCAGATACCTTTATGCCATATTTTAGCAGGAAGAAAATGAAAGCAGACAGGCTGCCAAAAAGGAAATGTCAGAAGCCCTGAAGAAATATGACCAGAGAGTCATTTCCTTGGTAGAGAAGAGGCCAAAAGGAAACCACAAACTTAGATAATGCCATAGGAAGAAGAGGTGGCTTCATTTGGTACCTGATTGAATGTACATCAAAAATATGGAGAAGAGGAAATTCTGAGCCTTTTGGCAGAATTGTGAGACTTTCTCTAGGATGTAGGAAGCCAAATAAATAGATTGTATAGAGATAAGGAAACAAGGGATTCTAGCTTTATTATTTAATGCTGGGGGGGGGAGAACCAGATTATTCTGTCTAAATGAGCACAAATTTTAAATTTGTTAATATAATCATAGACTCTAAATGTTGTACCAAGCCTGAAAGAATGTTTCAAAATCTTTTCCACAACTTAACAGCGAGTAGTAGGATTTTATTCTTTTTTATTTTGCTATCATTTATTTTTCTTTTTATTATTGTCTGCTAAACTGCATCAGAGTCAACTAAGATTAGCTTTTATCACAGAATGAGAGAAATTTAGAACTAGAAGAAACCTTAAAGGTCATTTAGTTCATTTCTTTTATTTGGCAAAAGAGGAAACTGAAGCCTATAAAGAATTGAGTGACTTGTCCAAGGTCACAGTGTCAAGGCCAGGACCATAATACACATCTCTTGATGCCTATCTCTTTCTATTATTCTGCATAAGCTGTTGTGTAAAGTAGAACATCACATAATCTCAGGTCCTTTGCTTTGAATTGCTAAGACCTACATGCACAAGTGTTCTGGCACCTTCCCGATTGCTCCTGGGGATAACTGCCTCACTTCCCTAACCATCTAATGAGGAAGCACAGGCATGCTCCAGTGCCAGTTTCAGCAACCCTCATTTGACAAAGAATGGCCTCTAGGATAGGAAGTATTTTTTTTGAAAATGATGAGTAAGAAGAAATATGACGCAGAAGACAGTGAAAAATGAATTGAGGAGAAAGTTGCTATAACTTTTCAGCCTGTCATTACTTTTCAGAGTTTGAATTTTGCTTGAGATAAAATAAAGACTGTCTCCACATTTCACCCAAGTCAATGCATGTTCTCTATTGTGTTATTTTTAAAAATCAAATGCTAGCTTTCTTCCAACTTCTTTTGTTCATTTTTTACCATTGCAGTTAATTTTTCTAGTATCCAAACTTCTCTACTTCTCAAAGAATTTTGACAGGTGCAATTTCATACCAAATAGTAAAGTGTAAACAGAAATTTCATAAAAGTATTAGGTGTCCAAAAGAATCTCCAAATGGATTATTTCTAAGTATATACTTTGATATTAAAGGTTAGTGACAGAAACTCATTGCTAATATGATCGATCATATGCTGTCCCTCACAACATCATTTAGACTTAGTTCTTAAAATCTTAATAAAGTGTTTTGCCTCTTGCTCTTCCCAGGTAAATAATATTTTTTCATTATCTTTATTTTCCTGGCAGCTTTTGATTGCTATTTTTTACATTGTATTTCTTCTATTTCTATTTTCAGGTAGAGATTGAAAAGCTGGATTACCATCACTATCTGCCTCTGTTTTTTGATGGGCTTTGTGAGATGACATTTCCCTATGAGTTTTTTGCTCGACAAGGAATCCATGACATGCTGGAACATGGGGGAAACAAGATACTTCCTGTCATTCCACAGCTTATTATTCCAATAAAAAGTAAGTGAACAGGTGAAAAAAGAATCACTGGATTTATATGGTGTTGGTTTTTGACAACTTGCTAATTAAGCAATAAAACATGACAGACTGAGCACATCCTCAGGTTTGATGTAACCCTCAGTAAATTGGTATATCAGGCTAGATTTCCAGGACCCACATTACTGTATTGCGGTTTATCTGGAATTACTCTTACTCTATTAAAGAAAGACCTCGGATATAATATGAAGGGAAAAGCTAATTTATATTTTATAGAGTTTGTATACTTATTATCTTTTTCCTCTACTATCATAAGGCTCATATTATGAGAAAAAAAGGATTTCAGATTTGAGATGTATTGAAAATGAATATTGAGTGTATATATGTATGAGAGAGAGATGCTACCAGTTCTTGATAACTGTGACTTCCACCTACCAACTCTTAAGTAAAGATTTCAGATACTTTAAGGGTTTTTTTTTAAGTTTTAGCATATTTTATATGATGGGTTACATATTTTTAAGGCCATGACTAATAAAGGGAGAAAGATATTATTATTATTTTTTAAAAACCTAAAAATTTTTCACATGATATATACTTTTTTTAACCTTGTGAATAAATTAACATCAGAATTCTCAGTTTTCCATGATTCTACTGATGCTGCAATACAATGAATTCCATTTTGAAACTTACTGCCTTGTCTCTGGATTCTCAACAAGAAAATGATTGCTGACCAGTCAGCCATCCTGTAGACCACTCCCACATCCCGGGTGAGAAAGAGAATGAAACCAAAGAAAAGAAGATTGCTACTGGGTGTGAAAGAGTAACATGGAAGAAAAATGGTTCTTTAAGTCGAACCTTGTTAAAAAGCAGTTTTCACTCCCCCATATATATCAACTAAGTGAGGGGCTGCTGTTCTCTGAAGACTTCTATAAGGATATATAGTACTGAGTTATATTAAAACTTTTTTCATGAGTGATTTATCCTCCTTTCTAACAGGTCACAATTTTTGAACAGGTTAAATTGAACTTGAAAAGCTACATTTCTTAAAGAGTGTACACATACTTCTGTTGAGTGTTTTATTGATAAACAAAAAGGTACCAGAACATTCTCCCCACTGACTGACAATATATTTCCCAGCCTTTCCTTCTCATGCCCATCAAAAAGAAAAGGTATTATATATGAAATATCGAGAAATTTCAACCCCGTGTTTCCCAGCCAAGTTAGTCAAGGAACTTCTCAGCTTCTTCTCTCTGTTTTATATCTTAGTTTGAAGAGTTCATGAGTGAAGATAGGAAATAATGTAGAGACTAAATAATGTATCATTTGGGATGTCTGCAATTAAAATTTAACTTGAATTTAAATGACAGTGTTGTAGGCAAAAGAGTCAATGAGAACTGGCCTTTCTTTCATATATGTTTCATCTCTACACTTAAAGAAAAACTAACTGTGGGAAATAGGTAGGAAGTGATTTCATTCTGACAGATTCATTCAATAAGCATTTACTAAGGGCCTACTAAGTTCAATGAATTATGCTAGATTCTGGGGGAGATATAAAGATAAATAAGATTTAGTTTCTGCCTTCAAGGAGTTTCTAATCCAATAAATTTGAGGGCAAGGACCAATGTAATGATGATGATAGCTGGCATCTATATACCGCTTTAAAGTTTACAAATATTGCCTCACATAATCCTGCAAACAACCCTGGAGAGAGGTGCTATAATATTAACTCATGTGTATATACTACTTTTATTTTTTAATCTAGAGCTGTGATTTCACTGATGTAGAGGATATGCTTTCTGCCAATGCAGATCAACAATTATTCTGCAATTTAGACGGTGGCCTACGACTGAGAGATTACAAGATTACATTGAGAGGGTCATAAGGCCAGTATGTGGCAAAGCTGGAAACGGCCCAAATGTTCTAAAAGGCTTCTACTTGTTTTTTCTATGTGCTTTTAAAATTTTAAATGATGGCGGGAATTAGGGAGAAAGTGATTGCATCCAACAATATTCATTTGATAAACACTAAGTGCCAACTATATGCGCTGCGTGCCCCTCTCTATCATAAACGTCCACTCTGTACTTTAGAGTTTGTGAAGCACTTTCTTCACAATAATCCTGTGAGATAACTAGCACAACAGTAACTATTGCCATTCTACAATTGAAGAAAATGAAATTTGGAGAGATAGTTTCACCTCCATGTTAGAGATCCTTTGATCAATGAAAACAATAGGAAAAGTCTAGTAAATATGACTTGCCACGGAAAATTGACCACATGTGATTTTGCTGATTTTTGGCTCAGGAAGCTTTGTAAAGTTGTCTGTAGATATCACATGTGACTACGTAGGTCTCTAGTAATACAGATTAATGCCCGTATTAATTGTGCTAGCTTCTTGTCCTGTTTATAGACACCCAAACACATGGAAGACATGAGCAATGTCTCTTACATAAGTATCCTGTCCAACCATGAAAAGAATGAATAGCATTCTAGCCCAGTACGTGTAGCATTACATGTATAAGCAACATCTTCCAAGTAGAATGCTGGGATGTGGCCAATTGATTAAGAAATACATTGAAGTAGATAACTGGCATAAAATATAACAGCTATGGTACTCTTCTAGTTCTAAAGCTTATACTTAGTATAACTTAGACCCTTTTGAAATGCAACTTGATCCTATATCATCACATACTTAATGGTAAACACAAAGTTCATTCATAGAAAACCACTCCCATCACAGTTAACAGTCAAAAATATAGCTCTGGTAGGTTTAAATAAGGACTGTTCCAAACCTATTCCTTCACCTCTTTTCAAAGGATGCAAGATGAAAATATGTAATGTAGGGAAAAACTGTGAATATAGATTCCAGCTTTATGATCAGCAGGTCTGGAAGACCTTTACAAACACACATAAATATTGAGAAGAATATACATGTTTTACTACAGTTTTCAGTGGTATCATTGACCACCAAATTTATACTTTCATATGTCTATGTATCTAAAGGTCTTAGTGAAGTTTTAAGCTATAAACAAAAGCATTTGTAGCTTAAAACTGCCCTAAAACTTTTGAGACAACATTTATATGAGACATCATACATAGTGTATGTGTATATATATATGAATACCTATACATACAAATAGATGTATGTATACATATACCATACACATATACACATTCCTACATCCATATCTATACATACAACCAAAATGACTGGATACTACTGCATGGTTAGGCCAACTAAATTAGGTTGAGGTGTGGTTAATTGCTTTTGATAGTTCATCTTTTAAATGATTGACAATATTAGACTGACCAGGCCAGAGCTAACTATTTTAATAGCTTCTTAACTGTTCTGCATGCCTCAAGTTCCTTCCTCCTCCAGTCCATACACGCATCATTACCTGTTATGTCATTAAGACATAGACAAAGGTCAAAGTTAATGATACTTTTTAACAGATATACATACATATATTCTACATGTGATGAAAAGCATTTCATTTCAACTTTGCGTTTTCAGCTTAGTTATTTTATGTCAAAATAAGTCAGGTGTTTTAAAAAGCAAACTTGTAAAGTCATTCACTGGTTTTAGCTTCAGAAGTTAAATCACCAGGGAGCAATGACATCACCAACTGCCTCCAGAGCCGTCAGAAGGGTTAGCAAAGGAGTAGAAATTCTCAGGACAAGAATCTAGTTAAAGGTTTATTCTAGAGATCTCAGAAGTAAAGGCTGCTATAGGAAAAATTAAAGAACCATGGAAAGAAGGGTTTACTCTAAAAGATGTAGTTTCAGTCCAACTTTTCTAAAAACCCAAGGGAGACACTGACCAGGGGCTTTTCTGACCCTATGGTTTTCAACAGAGTGAGCAGAAAGGTTCTGTTAACCTGGAATTACCAAGGGACCTTGACTGTTTAAAGGAAAAAGAAAGAAGAGAGTAAATCAAGAAGCTAAGATCTGGAAGGAACGAAAGAGATGATCTCATACCTGAGAAAGAATCCCCTCTATTACATTCTTGACTGGTGGTCATCTGGCATTCTCTTGAAAACCTCGAGTCTGTTGGAAGTCACTGTTTTATGCTAGTCCATTTCACCTTTGGACCACACTCATTGTTAGAAAATTTTTCGGTACTTCAAGTCTTTTCAGCAATTTCCGTGCATTCATTGTTCCTAGTTCTGGCCTCTGGGGCTAGACAAAGTAAGTCTAATAACTCTTCAGTCCATTCAAACCATTAAAATGCTTGAAGATAATTATCATGTCCCTCATAAGTCTAAAAAAAAAGCTAGATCTCCCCATTTATTAGAAAAGATATTGTTGCTAATAGTTTCTTTGATCTATCTGTCCATATCTATATCTATAGTTTGCCTTTTCCATTTATCTGAAAATTTGAATTAGCTATCTTTTAAAAAATGAATATTAACTTTTCTTTCACCTAAAAAAGGACTGATGTGGCAAATTATCTTACTTACCAGACCTGAAGCCAAACCTAGGGTATGTTTCTGGCTGTGCTGCCCTAACAAGCAAAACTGATTAATGTACCACTGGCAGAAATAAAATAAGGAAAGGCAAAGTCAGGGAAAGTAGCTAACCATCTTTTTAGGATTTATTCCAACTTGCAGCAGTGACAGAAATGCCATGTTGTACATACACTGCAATAAAGTGTGTCCTCTTAGGTATCAACTGAAGAGGTGCTGAGAATATCCTTGCATTGCATGGATACAACGTGCTGGAATTAAATAGCTGATATTTATATACAGCTCTAAATTTTACAGAGTACCTTATACGCATTATCAGATTTGATCCTTAAAACAATCTTATTCACAGTATTGCTATCCCCACTTGACAGGGTTTTTTGTTTTATTTAGTGTTCTGTTTTTTGCTCTAAATCTGTATCTGCATATATAAAATAAACACACATAATATTTTGCTGAATTGTTGTTGAATGGTTTTCAGTCACGTTCGACTCTTCATGACCCCTTTTGTAGTATTCTTGGCAAAGATACTGGAGTGGTGTGTCAGTTCTTTCTCCAGTTCAT